CTCTCACCAACCTTCTAGGCCTCAGTCTTCACTCCTGAGGAGTCGTTGAAGGGTTCGGCGCCACTCGGCCCAAATCTCCCGGGGCGTGACGCTTGCCCTCTGGGCTTCCGCGTGTGTTCTCGCACATCTTTTTTTGCGCCGAAGAGGGCACCAAGACGGACAAAGAGGGCCACAGGAAACCCCCAAGACGGTCCAAGAGAGCCCCAAGTCGCCGAACGACCGCTCCAAGACGCTCAAGATGGCCCCCAGATGGCCCAAGAGGCCTCCAAGACGCCCAAAGAGGCTTCCAAGAGGCCTCCCAAGAGGGAGGGCCCCAAGAGGCCAAAATCATGGATCTGCCTAGGTAGTTGTGGGATGGGGATTTTTGGCGTCCTCGCCTGTTCGGCTTCCCGACGCTCCCAAACGGCCCTAGAGGCCCCCAAAACCGCGCCAAGACGGCCCGGCCTCCAAGACGGCCCGGCCTCAAGACAGCCCCATAACGGCCCAGGAGGGCCCCAAGGCGGCCCCGAAAGGGGACCAAAAGAGGAGACACGAAACGGAAATCCGAGCCTTTCGCCCCAAGAGGCCCCCAGAAGGCCCCAAGAGGCGCCCAGGAAGTCCCAAAAGGCCCCCAAGAGGCCCCCAAGAGGCCGCCAGGAGGCCCAAAAGAGGATCCAAGAGGCCCCAAAACGCCCCCCAGGAGGTGTCCAGACTGACTCCAAGAGGCCCCCGAGAAGCCTCCCACGAGATCCCAACGAACATAAAATCGGCTTCATACCCACAACCCAGGCACGATGGCGGGATAGGCCGAAAGCCATTAGATCCGCCGCCCCCTGCTTGCAGGGGTGCACGGCGTGCTGGACGATTCAGGTTTTGGTTTTGGTTCTTTTCCTAAAAGAACTCCCCAGTGGGCTTCGGCCCGTCCCGCCGGCCACCCGTAAATCTCATAAAACCCATCTGTCAATGCCCAAAAACGGCAGTTTCGCTCGGGACATCCTCAAAAAATCGCGAAGATGGCCCAAGATGGCCTCCAAGTCCGCCCGAGATGGTCCAAGACGGCCTCCAAAACGGCCCAAGAGAGTCCAAGACGGCCCAAGACGGCCCAAGAGGCCCCCCAGAGGCCTCCCAGACGGCCCAAGAGGCCTCCAAGAGGTCCTCCAGGAGAGTCCGAAGAGGCCAAAATCATTGATTTTCCATTGGTTTTTGAAGGATTTTGGCATTTGCGCCTTTTCGGCTCTCCGACGGCTCAAGACGGCCCAAGAAGCCCCCAAGATCGCCCAAGAGGCCCCCAAGAGAGCCCCATGATGGCCCAAGTGGCCTCCAAGATGGCCCCTAGAGGGCCCCAAGAGGGCCCAAGAGGCCTCCAACACGCCCAAGATGGCCTCCCAGACGCCCAAGATGGCCTCCAAGACGGCCCTGGAGCATTCCAAGCGGGCCCCAAGTCGGCCCATAGAGGCCCCCCAAACGGCTTCCGACGGCTTCAGACGTGCCAGGAACCCACCAAGATGGCCGAAGTTGGCTCGAAGCTGGCCCGAGACGGCCCAAAAAGCCCCAAAGATCGCCCAAAGCTTGCCCAAGAGGCCTCCAAGACGGCCAAGATGACCTTCAAGATGCCCACGTGTTCCCCGAAGGCTTTCCAAACCGATTCGGGGAACACGTGGTCCGATAGCTTGGCAGGTCTGGCCTCAACGTTCGGCCACATAGGCGCTTCCAAAAAGGCAGGGGGCGGCGGTGATTCGCCGTAGGCGTCTTCGATATTCAAAACAATCGTGTGAATATATGTGTATATATATACATAATCACACACGTATTTATACATATATATATATATATATGATGCGTATGTATGTACACTTGCAGGTATGTGAAGGTATCGGCTTCCCCATCGATCGGTTCTATTACCCTGACAGTGCCTGCACTTAGGGGTTCTTACCCCTCTTCTACGGAACTGGGCCCACCTGCGGGCCCGGCGGCCCCCCGTTCTCGTCCGCCGCCGCCGCTCCGCCGCGCTGCACTGCCATCGCTTTGCGCCGCAGCCTTGGTTTGCATTGATTTGCGTTGCGCTGCCTTGCGTCGCATTGGCTTCCATTAGTGTGCAGTGCTTCGCACTGCATTGAGTTGCATTGCTTTGCAGTGCGTTGCACTGCGCTGCCTTGGTATGCAATTGTGCTGCAGTGCTTTGCATTGATATGTGCATTGCGTTGCATTGCAGTGCCTGGATGTGCGTCGCTTCGCTTTGCTCTCACCACGTGATGAGATTGCACCACATGGATTGCACCACATATGTTCCACCGCATTTATTGTACCACCTAGATTGCGCCACATATATTGCAAGAGAATCACTGTTTGGTGGTCACGCTGGCTGACAGGACTACATACCTGGATAACTCTATGTATCGCTGTCTGTGTCGGCCTGTCTGTCTAAAAGTCTCTCTTTCTGTGTAAATATCATCTGTTGTAGATTAGGTGGTTAGCAAATTCAGATTTCACATCTACGTAGATTCCAGACTGCATTGGCGCACCACGCCATGCACCGTGGTCCTTGAATTTCGGCCTGCGGGCGAACTGAAAGAGAGGTACATGAGTAAAGACAACGATACAAATATTGTCACTGCTTTCGTCATCGCCGTAGAAATATGTGCTTCCTTAAAAGTTATAGCATGCTCTTGTGTTTTCTTCTTAGCTTCCGCCTTACCCTACGAACCCTTCCAGGTCCTGCTCAGCGTGTTTGTGGAAACTCCTCCTCGAAAAGCCTCCTGGGGGGCTCACGAAACCTTTCAGGGAGTTTCCTGCAGGCTTCTGGAGGCCTCCTGGGCGCCTTTCGGGTGCCTCTGGGAGCTCCTCAGCGAACCTTGTTGTGAACCACGGCTTCGATCTGGCCTGCCGGGGAGCGGTTGTCCGGGGACTCTCTTCGGGCCATCTCGAGGCCCTGTCGTGCCGCCCTGGGGCTCTCTTGCACTGCATGCAGGCCCTTCGGGGTTGTCTGGGGGCGACTGTGGGTGCCTCTTGGGCGGTCTCACACGCCCGGGAGACCGAAGAGCCGAGCATCCAAACCAACCCACAAGAGCCATAAGGGCCAACATAGTTTTCTGCTGTTGGGAAGCCTCTTGGTGGTGCTATCTGGGCTGTCCTCGGACGTCTGGTGGGAGTCGGCGACACGGTTACGGCGCGGCTGGAGCTTTCGCGGGGCCGTTGGGCCACCCGCCTGACCGGCCAGGGACCGCCCTCGAGAGCCAGCCCAGAGGCCCAGGAAGCACAGCAAGCCGAGGGAGCGCGCTGCAGGGAGAGTGCGGGGAGCCCAGGGGAAGCCGCAATTCGGCAAGGGGGGGAGGCCAGGGTCCGAGTGCGCCGCTCAGTCCGGGGTCCGTCCAGAGTCCCCAGTCAAACAAAAACAGATGAGGGGAATACAGACACATGCATGTGTACGATATGTGTGCATAGATAAAGGCATACATTCATGTATGCTTTCATTCATTCATTCATACATATATATACACTAGATAGAATCCACCATCAGTGCTTGCACTGCTTTTTCTGATAGATGCATGCATGGGTTTCCCAGTTTGTCGCCACGCTGGCGCCATTGCCCGCTCGTGGGCGCCTCGTGGCCGCTCTGGGCACCGGATCGGTGTCCAATGCTTCTTGCCACGCTGGCGCCCATGCCCGCTCGTGGGCGCCTGGTGGGCGCCTGTTGGGCCGGGTAGGCTCCCCGAGATTTCGCCGCGTTGGCGCCCGTGCCCGCGTCGTGCGCTTACGCCACAGCAGCTTGTACAGCATAGCTTATACCACACAGCTTGCACTACACAGCTTGCTACGCATACCTCACGCCGCATAGCTCTCACATCATAGCTTACACCGCGTAGCATACATCACATCACGTATGCTTTATTGATTAGATGTCACCACATAGCCCACACCGCATGGTTTACACAGCACAGCACATGCCGTACATATCACACCACCTAGCTTACACACCATAGCTTGCACCGCATAGGATACACAACAAAGCTTCCACAGCACAGTTTACACCCTAATGCTTACACCATAAGACTTACACAATATAGCTTACATCACCTAACTTGCACACAATAGCTCACACCGCAAAGCGTACACACTATAGCTTACGCCACAGAGCTTCCACCTCCAGGATACAATAATTTACTATGTGGAGCCCGCGTAGGCGACCGCATGTGCGTATATACAGATATAACGATGTGCAATTCGCCTTGCATTTCGACTACACGTCGATTTCAAGTTCGGTTACCATTCCGATACACCTGCCAAAGTACGTGTCGATGTGCATGCTGACGTGCATTAGTAATCCCGATTCGATGTGCATATCGGCGGGCACTTCGATCAACACACAATTCACATGCCAATGATGCTTTTAGCTTTGACTACACGCCGGTGTGCAATGAAAATTGCAATCCGATTGCAAAAGTGTTGGCGACAACGTATGGCTCGCACCCGCGATGTGTAAGACAAACCGCTCCGATACCCCACAAGAAATGCTTTCCAAACCGTCAGCGGCCGCTACGTGGCAGGCGACGCTTGAGCTCACACGGACATCAACGTCCGCGGCGAGTCCTGCCCCATTCCGATGAGAGGTGGATCTTCAAAGGGGGGACCAGCTGGGAGGGGAAGCCACAAGCTGAAGTTGGCGACACATCGCCGACAGATCGGCGACGGGCCCCCGTCAGCGAACCCCCGCACGCCTCTGGGCGAGGTGGGCTATCGGGTCCCTATCGTTGTGGACGCCATGCCAATGGACACTCCAACAATCCGATCATTGAATTAAAGATTAAAGATGTGTTTAAACTGTGTAAAACATGTTCTAAACATGTTTCATACATGTCTTACACATACTTGAGACAGATTTGAAATTTCTTTTAGACATCTGGAAATTATTCGGCAGCATGCTGGGACCCCGAACCTCGATGCCGACACTCCCCCGAGCCTGCCCCCACCCCCCCCGAGCGCTGCCCCCGACGCTGCCTGGGGCCCGGGAGCCCCCCGCCCGCCTCCCTGTCGGCGCGCAGCTCCTCGGAGGCGAACCGCAGGTCTGCGCCCCTGCCGGACACGGCGGCCAGCACGGTGTCGCGGTCGGCGCGGCGCCAGGGCGCCAGGCACTCCAGGAAGGGGCCGGCCTCCTCCTCGATGGACTCGGCGGCCGAGGCGGCGAAGGAGGCCTTGTCCTCAAGAGGAAGCCCCCGCGCCGCGCAGAAATCACGACGGAGAGGGGGCGGTGGCCGTCGTCGGCCGCCGCAGAGGCCCTCGCTGGACGCCTGGACCGTCGACAACAACGACTCGCAACTAGAGAAACCAGCCTGGACTGAGGGCCGGGGGCTCCTGGTGACCCCGTGCGGAGAATACCTGGACATCGCCTCTTCGGGAGCACCTTCTGGCCCGGTACCGGGGTGTGGTCGCGATGCCGCCCCGCGCCTTCTGCCAGGGCACGCCAGCCCTTGCCGGCCGGCCCCGGCGCGCTCATCCTGAAACTCTTGAAGGGGCCCTGGGACACACAAGTAGATACACACGAATGACAGGATTCCCAAAATTTTACCATATTTTCTGGGCTTTTGCTCCCCCCCCCTTCCCATATGTTCTACATTTTCCCGGGAATCGAGATCGATTGTGTCTGTGTTGTCTTCCCTCCTGAACTCTGTCTGCGGTGAACGATCCCTCCGTCCTCTGCGGCCGCCCCTCCCTGCCCTGCCCTACTCTTGCAGCCGGCCCATCAGTTCGCCGAGCGCCCCCCGGGCAGCTTGCGTGCGCGAGCGGAGTGCCCCTGCGGCGCCGCGGCGGAAGAAGTCTGGGGGGGCGCCTTCCTCCCCTGGCAAGGGGACAGCACCGTCGCGAGCGCAGGAACGGGCCGCGCTGGAGCACGCCGAGCTCAGCTGCCCAGATACGCGACACGCAGCCCGCAGCGTGCTGTTGGCACGGTGTCGACAACGTAGACTGGACACGCAGGTCTGGGGCGATACGCTCGCCACACCGTGGACCAGCACGTGCCGAGCCGATACGCAGCGTGGTAACGCGGTCGTTTTGAAAACGGTAAGCGTTGCGCTTCGAGGCGAGCGTATCAGGGCAGCTCAGATGCCAAGTGCCTACACGCAAGAGTGACCCTGGGCACGAGTGACCTTCGTTGCGCGGACGAGGGGGGCGCAAGATGGCCAAATCCAAATAAGAAATCAGATTTCCCTAGATCTTTGAAAAGAAGCCCCTGAATTTCATAGTTTCCCAGATATGCTTGATTTCCCATATTTCCGAGGGAATCGGCGACGATGTGCGTCTGTGTGTTATGATTGACAACTCCTGATTCAATTATTATGAAGGGGCTCTGGGACACACAAACAAATACACGCAAATAAAATGATTCCCCATATTTTCTTGTATGTTCTAGGTATTTGTCTTCCCCCCACTTCCCACATTTTCCTATATTTCCCTGGGAGTGGACGATTCATTGTGTCTGTGTGTGTTTTTCCCCTCCTGATATTACTCCTGACTCACAGGAGACATGGAAGAAAGGAGTAAGCACGCACATGTCCTGCTTCGCGGCTGGCCGATCCAAACCAGCGTGGGCGCTCGCGGGTTGCGCTGAGCTGATTGCCACCGCGCGTGCGGCAATGGGCAGGGGGCCACGTGCGAACCCTACCCCCATCCCCCCACGACTTCTGAGGGGGAGGGTGGTGCTCACTTCGTTCGGGAACTCCCGAGCGAAGTGAGCCCCACCCTCCCCCTCAGAAATCGTGGGGGGGGAAGGTGAGGGTCCGCATGTGGTCCCCTGATGGGGGGGCAACCGAGAGAAGGCTGCGCGCGGAGGAAAGGGGGCGCACACGACCGACGGGCACATGCAGCGACGCGGGTAGCCCGCTCAGGAGCGCCTGCAACGCACGCAGGCAACGAGCAGCGCGGCCGCCCCCCCACACACACACACACACACACACACACACACACACACACACACACACACACACACACACACACACACACACACACACACACACACACACACACACACACACACACACACACACACACACACACACACACACACACACACACACGCACACACACACACACATAACACACACACACACACACACACACACACCACGCACGCACACACACACACACACACACACACACACACACACACACACGCACACACACACTACACACACACACACACACGCACACACACACACACACACACACACACACACACACACACACACACACACACACACACACACACGCACACACACACACACACACACACACACACACACACACACACACACACACACACACACACACACACACACACACACACACACACACACACACACACACACACACACACACACACACACACACACACACACACACACACACACACACACACACACACACACACACACACACACACACGCACTCTCACACGCACACTCACTCAGTCGCTCACTCACTCGCTCACTCACTCACTCACTCGCACCGATACCGACCCAGCCAGACGTCCCCGCGCCGTGAAAGAGCCACGACGTGAGGTCTTTGGCGCCTCTCGGCCTCATGGGACCTTTTCTAACTGGGCTCCAGGACCGCCCCAAACCAGCCCGGGATGGGCAGCCAGCCCCAGGGGAAGGGATCGAGACCTTTGGGAACCCTCGCTGCGCGAGGAATCATGACGTCGGGTGCCTGGGGTTACCCTTCCCTCCCTCGTCGCTGCACTCTTGGGCCTCCTCGGCGAGCCCTCGCCCCCGGCGAAGGGCTCGCCTTTAGAGAACTCTTCGTCAGAGCGCCGCACCCCAGGGGGGAGGTGCAGGTCGGGTCGGAGGAAAGGGGGGGGGACAGGCCAGGTCGAGGGACAGGCCGACTGAAAGGTAGGGTTGTCGATTGGCGAACCAGCTCACGCCGCTGCGCTTCCCGGCGCCCCCGGGCGTCCGCGTCTCGAGGAAGGCGCCCGAGACGGTGGGGCCGAAACCGGCTGCACCCAGCAGGTGTCGTGAGAACCCCCGCGTTCGCCCACTCCTCCCCTTGGGCGTCCGACCCGCGAGAGAGCTCTGCAGGGGAGCAGCGGCTCCGGTTCGTCTGTTTGGCCCCTCCGGTGTCCGACTTGGGCGCCTTGGCGTCCCCCTCCTCGTGGCACATGCGCACAGGGCTGACCTCTGCCAAAAGGGCGGCCTCTGGTGCGCTGCTGCTTCGGGGGTGCGTCCCCCCCCCCCACACCTGGACGGAGGCAGAAGGCAGCTGCAGAAGCACAGACTCTCGGAGGGCCGCGCGGCTCTCTCGGGTCGGCGACGGACCCCCCCTCTCCCTGGCGGCGCGCGGCGGGCCAGGGGCGGCGCAGCAGGGGACGTCGGGGGGGGGTCACGGCGCAGACCCAGGAACTCCGCGCGGAACTCCGAGAGTTGTTCGTGCAGGCTCTTCGACCGAAACCAGTAGGGGGTGAGCAGCACCACCTTTGGCAGAGCGCCTCATCGTGAAAGCTGCCAGGGGCACCCCGCGTGCTCACGGCAACGCATTTCGAGTGCACCCCAGCGGAGCAGCTAGTCGACGTCTCATGAAACAGCCGAACGTATCTGGCGAGACGCAGGCCGATTAGCGAAACCAACCAGGGACTGCACCGGCACATTCGAGTGCCGATGCCAAGTGAACTGGAGCAGATTTCCTCAATGGCCTTGTCTGGGTGGGCGTTCTCTCCATGCCCGAGCAACATTCCCAGCACCTTCGGCAACGCTGAAATACGAGCTTAGAATTTATCCGCGTCCACCGCCCGTGGATCCGACATCCCTGAACCACTAAGGGGCCTCCCGAATGGTGATGGAGCAGGTGGGGTCGGAGGATCGCGCCGCATCGCAGATGCACCGCCAATGCATCGGCGATGCATCGGCAACATCGGCGATGGCTCGGCGATGTCAACTTGGAGAAGATCGGGCTCCGCATCGAGCCGCATCGACGATGTATCGTTTGCGGCGCAATCCTTTGACACAATATGCTCCGATGGCCCCTGATAGGGCATCACTGACGGGCCTCCCATCAGACCAGTGACTGGAAACCCTGTCCGTGCCCTCCGCACGGCGGAGGACACGGACATGCCCAGGCCCCACCTGGGGCCTTGACGGGCCCGTGGCCCCAAGCCCGCGGGGGCCCGGCAAGAGATCGGGTGCCAGCGGGCGGGGGACACGGCCCGCGGGGAGGGGGAGCCCACGCCGCCCCACGGCTCTGCACGCCCGGAGGCGGGGAAGGCCTGGGCATGATGCCCAGCAGCAGTGCCTGGTCTGGCGGCGCGCACAAGGGGGTTGGGGGGAGGGGGGAAGGCTTCTTGGTAGAAGGCTGTTTCTTAGAAGGCGCCGGCCTTACATCAGTGGAGAAGGCCCGCGCCTTCTAAGAAGCAGCCTCATTCTAAGAAGCCTTCCCCCCTCCCCATACCCTCCTCTGCGCGTGGCCGACTGGGCCTGTGCAGCAAGAACTGCTGTCCTGTGGAGCCCTTCTGACAACAAACCCTAGCATGTTGACCGCATTGCGTGCCCACCCGATCCACGCAAGTGCTGGCAGATGGAAAAGAAAAATGCTGCCGCAATGGTCTTGCTCCACGTTGGGCATCGTACCCGTCCTTTCGGTCCGCGTTCTGGGCGTCTCGACCCTTCGGGGCCTAGCATTGGGTCGGGCTTGTCCCCTACAGGGGGATTTTAAGCGAAAAGTAAAAGATAGACAAAAAATGCCCCAGAATGGTCAAACATAGTTTTTTAAAAATCGTCCCCTGCTTATTTTCGACTATCTTTGAATATTCCCCCTGTGGAGGGACAGGCCCGACCGAAGCCTAGCATCAAGAGGCCACCCCCGGCGAGAGACCGCCCCAGCGCACCGCCGGCGTCCTCGTCCTCCCTGCCGCCGGCCGGCGTGCGGGCGCTCTCGGAGTCGCTCTCCTCCGCGAAGGAGCTCAGGGAGCTGCAGGTCTTCGGGAGGGCCGTGCCCCGCTCGTCGTCGTCGGACGTCGTGCTGCAGCGGTCGCTGCCCTCGGCCGACGGCCTCTGCCTGCCAGGGTTCGACCTGCACGGTGCCATTCCTCCTCGTTTTGCCTTCGTGCTCCCTCGTCCTGTCTTCGTTCGGCCCTTGCTGCAGCACGAAATCAAAACGAGAAGGGTCCGCGAAGTCGCAGGAAAACACGGTGCAGCTCGCGCCCGGCTGCCTGCCGTGCGCCTCGTAGTCCTCAGGCTCGAAGCTCCACGCTGGCGCGAGCAGCGCGAGGCGCAGCAGCTTCTGCTGGGCGCGCTTCGGGCTCCTCGGGGAGGGAACGCAAAAACTCCGCGGACGACTTGTGTGCACCGTGCCGCGTTGGCGTCGCCCGAGACGTCGTCGAGCCTCGACTCGGGCATGGTGCGATGCATGATTGATCGCCCTCTGGGCCGAGAAACGCACCGTACCAAGTAGGGGCGGGGCCTGAGAGACGTCCAAACACGGCACGGTGCATGGGCGCCGTTCTTGTAAAGGAGCGGGGATCGTGACGAAGACGAAACGCGGAAACGTCGGAGCCGATCTTGTTCACCGTCCGCACTGGTCAGCATAACAACTCGGGGGCCATCCCCGCGAACTTGCGACAGCCAGCATGGACCATGACCCAGAACGGCGCCGACACAGCACCCCGCGACATCTTGGCCACGGTCACCACGTGCTGCTCCCCTCGACCTGTGGCCGTTCCTCAGGGACGAGGAGAGCTGTGCGACCCGGGAGCCCTTCGCGCCGCCCACCCGCCGGCTCGGGCTTGGCAGCGGGGCGACCGGGACGGACAGCGACATGCGGCCCCCGCACGCCTGACCTGCGGTCGAAAGCCCGTCGGGTGTCTCACGGACACGGGTGCCCAGGCAGGCGGCCCCGCGGCCGACACCCCGACGGGCAGCTTATATGGAAAATATGGATGCTCAGACCTCCGGCACCGTGCGGGAATCGCAGCGGGGGGCGTTTCCCCTTGAGCTTCGACGCCCCGAGGCAGTCTGTCGGCCCACGGCTTATCAAAAGAGCGGCCCGCGACTACAAAGGAGAAGGGAAACGTTGGGGGGGGACCGGCTCAGGGGGGGAACCATCGAGCTGGAATCGCCGATGCATCGCCGACAGATCGGCGATCAATGTGCAATTGGGGGTCGAAGCATGTTGCCCCGAGAAAGCGTCTGGGCCATTGGGTCGGAGATCTCCACGGCCTCTCGTCGCAGCGAGAATCCACGGAGCCGAAGGTCTGGATGGTTGTGAAGCGGGGCGGCGACGGAAAATACTCCGCTAGCACGCCCGCCTGATCGCCTGACAGGAATATATGTATATATGCGTTCTTGAGCCTTGACGGCTACGGGGGACGGCAGGGATGAGGAGGAGCAGCAGCATCAGCAGCAAGTGAACAGCAGGTGGATCAGCAACCAGCAGATGGTGGGGCAGAGGAAGGGACGGGCTGTGTGCATTAGTCCCGACACATTCGAGCTGCGTAGTTGTTTCTTGTCGGCCGTCGCATGGCATCCATTGCGCGCAAACACACACACACACACACTCCCTCCTCCCTCTCCTTCTCTTCTTCTGCCCTTCCGATGGCACTGGTTATACATCACCCCCCCCCCGCCCCCGTACGTCTGTCACGAAAGAGCTCTTACCAAAGGATGATACGCGCGACAGGATGGTAGACAAATGCATATGCGCCCGCGGTGATGCAGGGCTGACACGGCCGAAACCCAACACTGAAAACCCGCAAGCGCGAAATGATAGTAGATGGGAACCCAAGGCACCCTGAACGCAGCAGCTCCTTCAACGGCCGCGGAAGTCACTGCGCAGCGCTCGGAGCGAAAAAAACCTGGGTACCCTGACGAAACAGATTCGGTTTCTTGATGCGCGCCCCTACTGTAGATGCTCTACATCAGCATTGTTCTGGCTCCAAGAGGGCGCGCGCATTGCCACCCTTAACTGGGACGGCCCTCAAGGGCCCAGAGGCTCCTTACTGTGACTACACGGCGGCAAGACGCTCGAGCAACCGCCTGAGAGTCTACGCTGCCCGCGGCGCTGTCCGATGTAGGCCTGATCGGGACCGGACCTGCCATGATAAGGGGAAGCAGAAGGGGGAGGATGGAGGAGGAGAAGGAGGAGAATGAGGAGGAGGAGGAGGAGGAGGAGGAGGAGAAAGAAAAGGAGGAGGAGGAGGAGGAGGAGGAGGGTGGGAGGACCTGGACTGGAATTGGAACAAGGGAACCACGAGAAGAGCGAGGAGAAGGAGGAGGAGGAGCAGAACGGGCGAGGCGGAGCGGGAGGAAGGGCCAACGATGCGGCCCCAGACCTGGACAAAAAAGCTGACGCCACTGCCGCCGCCCCAGGCTCCCAGGAACGAGCATCGAAAAACCTCCTACTGTCGGGCTCCGCCCCGCGGGGCGGGAGGCTGGGAGAGGCTCGGGACAGTGCCGCGCGGGGGATAAAAGACGTCGACAGCGCATGTCGCTCCGAAGCATGGCGGGCCAGAACTGGCGGAGCGACGAGCTATAGGCCAAAAATTTTCCACCGCAAACTGGGTCCCGAGCAGCAGAAATCGGAGGATCGCCCCGCATCCCCAATACATGCTCCTCCTCCTCCTCCTCCTCCTCCTCCTCCTCCTCCTCCTCCTCCTCCTCCTCCTCCTCCCCCTCCTCCTCTCCTCCCCTCCTCCCCTCCTCCTCCTCCTCCTCCTCCTCCCTCCTCCTCCTCCTCCTCCTCCTCCTCCTCCTCCTCCTCTTCTCTTCCTCCTCCTCCTCCTCCTCCTCCTCCTCCTCCTCCTCCTCCTCCTCCTCCTCCACGATGCACCAGCACCGCCGAGGAAGCAGCCGCGGCTGGGCCCGCCCGCCGCGCGCGCGAGCGCCACGTCCACACACACGCGGCGGCCGAGAGAGTGGCCGCCGCCGGGGGGAGCGGCCGGCCACGCGAGCCTGGCGGACAGAGATGAGCAGCAGTGCGGCAGACGCGAGGGCGACGTGGCCCCCGCCGAGGCTGGCGGAGAGCAGGCCCCGGCACCCGGAATCAGTCGGGCCAGGCGAAAGGGGGGGATAGCAAAGCGGGGGTTTGAGAATCAGCTCACGTGGCTGATTTTCCAGGCGCCTCCTGGCGCCGGGAGGCGCCCACGTATCGAGGAATGGGCCCGGCGGCGGGGCCGAAACCAGCTGCATGCAGCAGCTTTCGTACCCCCCCCCCTTTCCCTATCCCCCCCTTTCGTTCGGCCCGGAGCAGGAGGGCAGGCGGAGCGGAGATGCAGAGGGGGAGCAGAAGGGCGGAAGAGGGGGGGGCCCTCTCGGGAGGCACAGGCCGTGCAGGCGCGACCACCCACACCACTGGGGCCACCTCCATCACTGGGGGGGGGGGGAACCAAGGGTGCCCCAGAAGGCTCACGGAAGGGTCCCCTGAGGGCCCAAAAAGGGCTCTGAGGGATCTCGTGGGAGGCTCCAGCAGGGCCCCCGCTGGCCGTAAGCAGTCCTTTCGGAGGCACGATAAGAGCTGCATCTACGCCAAGCGAAACAAAAAAAGGAGCTATGATGCAGCACGCTGGATTCATACAAATGAAACCAAGCCCAGGAGGGAAGATTCGACAAGCCAAACGAGGACTCTTACCCAGCTCAGATTTGCGTAGATACCTTGCCTCGACAATCGGCTTGGGCTGCTGTCAAATTTAGTTTAACTGGCGCCTTCCCCTCTGAAAACACTCTTTTGCGATCCTCCTCGCGACAACTCATCTAGAACTCATTTCAAGAAAAGGCTGGCAGGAGATACTCGATACATAAGGAATCAAACATGATGGGGGGATCTTACAAGCGAAAGTATATGTGGGTATCTGGCCAAGCTACTTTCACCCAGAAGAACCACTGGCATCGTTCCTTTTCGCCACCTCCTTCCCAGCCTCCTTCCCCAAATAACAGGCGCACTCGAGAAGCCCGTCCATCACCGAGGATGCAACGGCCACCGTGCCCAAGGCCGCGTGCTTGGTCACGGCCATCCCCACCTGGGTGGTGGTGCTGATCTCGACCTCCTTCTCCTTCGGTTTGACGTGCTTCTTGGCCTCGTCCCCTCCCTTTGCGAGGACCTTCTCGAGCAGGACTGCACCCGAGCCAATGGCACTGGCGAGAGTGACGGCGGCGCCACTGATATAATCATCCACGTCCTTCAGTGAGCAACAACCTACGCCAGCGCTTATTACTGTGTCCCCTTTCCCCTCTCAGGGACAGGAGGAGGCGAGATCAGTGGGAGGAGGACCAGAGAGGCGAGGGGCTCCGGATCCTTTTTCTTGGAGAGCTGGAAGGCGCAGTAGCCTGCCATGACCTCGGCGAGCTCCAGAACCTTATTGTCCGGTGTGCCCTTCGGTAACCTTAGGGCGACGAGATCTATACAGATCCACCGCCGCCGGCCAGGCTCACCCTGGGCCCAGAGCAGGTGCATATGCCTCCAAGGCTCATCCCTGGCCACTGGAGGCATATACACTCGCTCCTGGGCCCAGGATGAGCCTGGCCAGCGGCGGTGGGTTTGTTATGGATCTCGTCGCCCTGAACCTGATGGCAAAGCTGTCGCCATCTCCAGCGTCGAAAGTGATGATGCGGGTTTCAAACACCAACAGAACAGGCACCTCGAGGGTCATGGGGTAATACGCCGACCCCCGCTGGCCCAGGGTAAGGAGGCGTGTGAGACGCTTGGCTGTTCAAAAGCCTCAAGATGGCCCCAACACGGCCCAGGAGAGCCCTGGGAAAACCCAAAGGCAACGACAACTGGGCTCAATGAAACGCCTCTTCGGCCCGACACCGACGACAAGCTAAGCTCTTCAAAACACCCCTATGGTACTTAATGAGCTTCGCCCGGCGGGAACTCCTGGGGCCTTTTCTAGTAAATTGTCGGGCTCGCTGGTGGAAATTACAAATAAAAAAAAACGTTTTGAAAGCGCCATGGGACTAATGGCTCGAAGATTTTGGGTACACCTTGAGTCCCAAATCGAGGGCCCAACCAGCCCTGGTGCTGGCCCGGACCGAATGCAATTCGCACTGGGCTCGGGCCCAACACGGGGACACTCGCGATTGGGCCATCGAAACGCCCACGGGACCCCCTCAGGCCCTTCTGATGCCTCTTTGTTGGCCGACTTGGGGGGGGGCTCCTGGGACGTCTTTGGTTCAAGTTGGAAAGTTTGGGCGCCGTTGTGGGCTTCCTGCAGGGCCATCTTCGAGTTCGTTCGGCATATGTCCAGGCCGTCTTGGGGCCATGTTCGGTTCGTCTGGCGAGCACTTGCAAGGACGGGTGGCGAACGCGAAGCTTGCTGAATAGATGGGGCCATCTTGGGTCCCGCGTGTCCCGTCTTTGGCACATACTTGCCACCTTGGTGGCCGAAATGGGGGTACCTCGTGCCGTTTGGGGGGCGTCGGGATCACGCTTTGCCTCCTGCGGACTCGTCTCGGACCTCTTTATGTCGCCACCCCGTCTCAGAGCCACATCGTTCGGCCCTTCCGGCGAGCATCGAGGGGGCTGGCAGTGAGCGCAGGGCGTCTTGAATAGAAATCGCTGTTGTCTTCAGTGGCGCCGCAGGCGACGTGGAACACGGCCACCTCCATCTTTTTCGCCCAGCGCACCTTTGCCCCACGGTGGGGGGCTGGAGGCACGAAACCACAGAATTGAGCATGCCCTCCAGAGGCCAACGAAACATCCCCACAAAGCAGGCGCGCTCTTCTGGAGCCTTGGGCTGTCTGTCTGCCAGTGGAGGGCACCTTGGACCATCTTTTGGACTGCCCCCCGCCCCCGCCTTCAAAGGGCCAGGCAACCTCAGACATCCGACGCCATGATATTTGGGAGGACAGCTCCGAAAAACTGTGTTTGTGCCATTCGTTTTTCTCCGATTCCCAGGGATACGCTTCCCATCCCCGGAAGTTATCGCTGCTGGTCCCGGAAAGCCCGAGCCCGGCCCATGGAGACCCACAACACCGAGGAGAACAGCCACCAATCGCGATGTGTGTTTCGTTGCGCAGGAGGTCGGGGAAGCCGAGGCGCGGCCTTGGACTCGGTGTCCACCAGGGAGATCCATCCAGGGGGGTCCTGTAGGAAGGGGGACAGAAACGGGCAGCCACATGTCAACCCTGCCCCTGCAGAGGGCAGACTTCTGAAACGCCGGCCCGGGTGCAGAAAACCAGGATCTGTCCAGCGGGAATGCCAGATACTAGAGGCCTCCTAAGTGAGGTCCGAATAGACGGGGTCGAAGGATCGCGCCACATTCGCCGATGCATCGCCGACGCATCGGCAATGCACCAGCGACGTCGGTGATGCATCGGTGACGTCAGCGTGGAGAGACCCTGGCTCCTCCTCGAGCCGCATCGGCGATGCATCGTCGGCGCGGCGCGATCCTACGACCCCATTCCGCACGCTCCTGGGCGGGGTGGGCCATCGGGCCCCTGTCGGCGACGGGCGATTGGGGGTCGGTGCGTCCCCCCACTGGGCCTCATCCCTTCCCATCGTTGCCCCTGGCCCGCGGGGGGGCCCCACGCCCCAGCGCCGATCGGATCCGCAGGGGGGCAGGGTTCGCGACCCGTCGCAAAAGGGAACCGCACGAGCGTGCAAGTTCGGACGCCCGCGGGCGGTTCGCCCGCGGGCACCGGGGCCCCTCGCGCGCATCCCTCCATGGCGCGCGAGCCGCGGCGGGCGGCGCCGAGGGCGCAGCCCTAAGGGTGCGGGGAGGGGGCCTGGCGATGGCAGAAGAAGCTGCCTTACAACCCTCCTCGACATCAAGAGATCAAGAGCAAGATGTTTCCAATCCCCCTCGCCCCCCCCATGTCGATGTTCGGCGACGCGCGCAACGCGGCCCGCTGTCTGAAGAAAAATATAGGCTGTCAAAGTCGATGCGAACATTTACATTCGGGGGCCGGGGGCGTCGCCACGCAGCAGAACAAGCTTGCGTTTGATATTGAAGAGGGTGGGAGGAGGCAACGCCTGGGAGGTCCTCGTGGGAACGATTGTTGGGCCACCCCAGTGAAGCACACGGCTGAGCGGGACTGAGCGGGGCTGAGCAGCATGAAGCAAGAGTATATGCCGGATTGCTGGAACTCGACCGTGGATGAACCGGCGGCAATGCTGAACTCGACCTTCCAGGAGTTCCCGACCGAAGACGCCAGAGGGGTATACTTGTGCGGCCTTGGAACCTCCTGGGTTCCTCGATGCGCGCGCGTATTCGCTTGTGGGACGCCAGCTCCACCACCTCCAGAATGTTCACGGGGGTGCCCGCGGGGATGTCCTGTTAGCATGGTGCAAACGGTTCCTGAGGGAAACGGGTCCTGGACCCTGGGGCCTCCCTCAGGACGAGCTATTCCTCATGAGTCGGTTTCTGACAGTCCTGGGACCCGGGGAGGGCCCCCCAGGCCTGAAAACGACGAAACACCTCAGGACCCGCTTCGCTCAGGACCCGCTTCCCCCACGGCGATCCTGAGACCCAGGCACGGCACCGCCTGGGATCATCTCTGGGCCCACCTTCGCCGGCCTGGGACGAATGATAGACGACGACGACAGACGACGACGACGACGACGACGACGACGACGACGACGACGACGAGGGAGGAAGGCCCCAGATCTCCTGCGCCGGGAAGAAGCAAGGAGCGCCCGTGCGCTCGTCCGCATGGACGTCCGGAAGGCCCGCCGTGGTCCCCAGGGCAATCAAAACCGGCCGGGGGGGTCGAGAGGTCCGGGGAAACCGAAACCAGCACAACGTCGGAGGTCTGCGTAAGGAGGAAGGAAGAGGCCTGTTCATGACGTACTTGCCAGGGCCGTCCACGGAGTCCAGGGGTCGCAGTCGCAGTAGCCGGAAGGGGCCCCTGGCCACGATGGCACCCTCCCTGCCGCCACCGCTCATGACTGCCACCTCCGCGCCTGGTATCTCGACGAGCACCTCGGCGGCCCTTTCGTCCGAGCCAAGCAACACCTTGGTGTCGCCTCCCTTTGCCACGGTGCCGCCTCCCTTCGCCGTGACCACTTCGTGCCCCCCGCTCACTGTGGACTGCTCGCAACCCATGGCGACCGATGACGGGCTGTAGGCTGTTCACCAGATCAGAGAAAGATCTGCAGAACTAAATGCGCAGTCAAACTGCTCGAACCAGAATAGGCAACCCTTCATTTCGGAACAACTTATCAAGCTCGCCCCGATCAACCGTCTCCCCACGAACATCCCCCCTAAGAGAACCCCACGCGAAGACCGACTAATCTGAAACGAACCCAAGCGGCCCTTCATGCGACTGGCGAAGCCCGTGCGAATACTGACAGGCCCCTGACGGCGCGGGCCTGGATTTCTGACACCGCGTGAACCGCTCATTGGGGGGGACTCGCCCAAGGGGGGGGGACATCGACCTGGAATCTGCCAGCCGTGGCCGATGTAGACCGACCGGCCCTGGGCTCTGCAGCAAGTCCGAACGGCCCTGGGCCTGGCGGGCGATGAGGCCCTGACCATTCAAGAGAGACAAAAGTACTCCTACCACCAGCTGTGGGGAACGCCGCTCCCTCCCCTCGAGCTGGTGGCACCTCCTTCTGGGAACTCTCGGGAGGCATGCCCGGAACGAGGTGCCGAGTCTTGGCGCTGTTCGTGATGTAGACGAAATGGTATTTGTTTCCCTGATTGCAAGTCTGGGTCCGCAATGAAACTGCATTTGGCGACGTGAGGTCTCCTGCACCGGTCGAGTAGTGAGCAGGCACCGTGCTTCGCGAAAGAGGAACAGAAGTTGTTGGCGCCTCCACGCTTGGGTGGCCGAGATGGGCCACGCCCTGTCGAGGGCAATCTTTCGCGGGCATCTGTGCCGGCCTGCGACGCGCGCCCAGAAGGTCTCGGAGTAGAGCGGCTACCACATCCGGCATGCAATAACCGACAGCGTTCACCATTTTTGCACCGACCTTCCACGCATGCTGCACACGCGGCCAATTTCTGGCGCATCGACTCGTTTTTGCGGTTGCGTCAATTCCTTTCGACTCTGCGCATCTCGATGTTGGCCAGGGCACGATCGCGACGCCATCGGTAAGTGTTGAAAGGGTCGCCCTTGTTGATTTTGATGCAATCGCGCATGTATTGCTTCATCCATGGACGTCTACGAATTTGCGCCCCGAACAACGGCTCAAAGATAGTCGTGTCCTGTGGATCACGGCACTCCAAAAGTAAATTGTCCCGTTCCACAATATAGGGTTGAAGGTCTTCGTCTCGCACGCGCATATGTCGAGGACGTTCGAAGTCGCGCATGGCGTCATCGACATCGGTAACCTTGTAAGACAGGAAGATGGCCCAATAGGTTTGTTTTCCCTTCATCATGCGGCCGGCTTTATGTTCTTGAGCCTTCAGGTTCTTCATGCGATAACGAAATTCAATTGAAATAACTGCCGAAAGACCAGTGGTCAGCGCGCAGTCGGTGCTTTCAAAGTCCCCACTGTCTTGAAAATCCTCGAAGGTAGTGTCAGGCTGTTCACGAACGCAGAGAAAGGCGCAGGCCTTCGCAGGGCGCCCAGAAGCACTGCCGAAGTCCTCCATGGCCATGTGCTGGTCCTCCTGCAGCTGCCTAATCTTTAGCAGATGGGGAGTTCGAACAATATCGGGTGCCTTGGTCGAAGTTGTGCCACCGAGAGAATACTGCGAAAGATTATGAAATTGAACCAGTGGCGGTTGGGACGGGGCACGCACAGGGGACATGCAGCGTGTCTGGGCAGAAGATGCTGCCAGAGCTCGACGAGCGCGTTCCACTACTAGCAAAGTAACTACTCGCAATTGGCCGGGATCCGCCGCTGGGGATCTACGATAGTTTTCATCGAAGCAAGCGTATGTGTTTTTTCCTAGCGTTTGCGATTAGGTACTTTGCAAGTAGGGGAACGCGCTCGGTGAGAAGCGACCTGTGGCGACGTGCGTCTCGGCTGTCCAGTGCAGATGTTTCCATCGGTCTGCCTGAGGTTGCGGACGAATGTGGACCGTATGATTGCTGGCGTGAGCCGTCAGGGCGGCTTCCGCGGTGGTGGGTTCCTGCTGCAACTTCTCAACACTCTGTCGAAGACAACTGACCTCCTCTTTGGTGTCATCTTTCCGCTACGAGTACCGATCCAGCCGGTGCTCTAAGTCTTGGAAACGTCGGGCGTGCTGCGCGTTCTTGTTCCAAGCGGGCGAGGGGCGCCTCGGCCCGTGCCTTTTCAGCGTCTCTTTCCTGGGACGCCTGGGTGAGCTGTAACTCCGCGTGGCCCGCCGCCTTCCTTACCTCGGCCATCTCGACAATGAGGGGGGCGAAATCGTAAACCGAAGTCTGGGCGCTCAGCTGGCCAGTCTGAGTCCGCGCAGCACGCCACTCAGCCAGCGCAGCCTGAAGGTCAGGCAACTGCTGCTCGGCCGCGGACACTGGGTCTGCAAGCTCTGGCGCACGCCCCTTGGAACCATCAAAACGTTGAGCAATAACCAACTCAGCATTACACACCTTGCCGTGCAACTCGGACGTGGTAGTGGCATTCCCGGAGTGGAGGTTTGCAGTTGTCACATCAGCGTGATCACGAGGCGCAGTGAGGTCATCACGGGGACGTTGGTCTGTAATTCCTCGTATCTCTGTGGCAAGCGTCTGCCGCAAAGTGAGGATCTCGTCGTGCAAGGTCCTGAATGCGGCGGCGCCAGCGCCCCTAACGCTCACGAGCTGCGCCTCAATGGCGAGGAGGTAATCGCGAAGCGCCTGGATGGCAATGGAATCGGCACCTCGGTGTGCCTCCACACGGTCGGCTCGATATTGGACTTCGTTCAGGATCGATCGAACCTCGGCGATCCGAGCGTCGACCATGGCAGGAGCACGCTGAATCTCTTGACGCAAGGTTGCTGTCTGGGTCGCGGTGTTCGCGACCGTCGCAGAAAGACCGGACAACTGTTTGTTCGTGCATGTGTCAACCTGGTCTCTGAGAGCTGCCAACTCTTTGGCGAAGGGAAATGCGTGTGGCGCAGGATCGCGCCTCTGGGATATCGGCGTGGAGCGCCTCTGTGAGGGGCTGCGGATGGCGTCCCCGCGCTGAGGCTGGACAGGATACCAATCGGGGTTATTCTCTGAATTGTCGCTCCGTGACGACTTTCGATGGCACGAACGTGCCCAGGCACGGGGACAGAAGCGGGGATCTAGGGCACACGGTCGTCCTAACGGCGGCGGTGTGCGGAGGCGCTCGGTGGAAACGCATCATGCGCGCTGCCGCTGGTGTTTCCACCGGCACAAGAGCGCAGGAGGAAGCGGCTTGGTGTTTCCACCGACAGGAGGGTCGGGCTCGTAATAACACGATTTGTGTCTGGGGTTGCATGAGAACTCGGTCCGGAGCCTAAGGTGCACGAGTGCGCCTGTGTAGGGTCCGCACCCGACAGGAAAGATTGGGACGCATCCGCATCTGAGTGTCGAGAGCGCTCCTGTTGCGCACGCCGAAGCTCTGCTTCAAGGCGGGCGTCGGCGATGGCCTCTCCCGGCAGGGGGAATTGCGGTGCCATTCCTCGTCCCGCTGCCCTCTTCCTGTCGTCGCGGATCCCGCGCGCGGGTTCGGCGGCACGCACGGGGCTCGCCGTCGGCGCGAGGGGCCGTGACTGCGAGTAAAATAGAAAAGGTGGATGACTTGCGAACGGAGGTTACGAACCGAATGGTCGAACCTACCGTCGAATCCGGTGGAGGATACGATGAGAGAGTGAAAGCGTCCTTTTCCCTCTCACGGCCCGACAGTCATCGGGCTCGCTGTCCAATAGGACTGTCCAGTACCTGAGCCAAGAGGATTGCAGGATGGACGGGTAGAAGAGGGAGAGGAGCGGTCTTCACGCACGACCCGTCATCAATTGCACCGTCTGCGCGGCCCGCATCCGCGGCCGCCTGCGGCGGAGTGCGGTTCTTTCTCCCCCCCTCCTCCCCCTCCGCCTCCGCCTCCGCCTCTAGAGGCCTCCTGGATGGGGTCGGAGTAGATGGGGTCGGACGGTCGCGCCGCATCGCCCATACATCAGCGATGCATCGGCGATGCACCGGCGATGCATGGTCGACGTCGTCACTGCATCGGTGAAGTCGACGTGGAGCAAATCGGGCTGCACATCGAGCCGCATCGGCGATGCATCGGCGATGCGGTGCGATCCTCCGACCCCATCTGCTCCGACCCCATCGAGGAGGCCTAGAGCCTCCTCCTCCTCCTCCTCCTCCTCCTTCTCCTCCTCCTCCTCCTCCTCCTCCTCCTGCCACAACTTTCACCTAACCCGAGGTTGGCCACCATTGTTCCGACGAGATGCGCACTGCGACGAGCCCGAAATCGACTTCAGCTACGACTTGGTCACTCTGCAGATCCAACCGACCGAACTCCCCCTGACATCGGGGGCGCGCAAACATGGACTAGCTATCCATGGATTTGGCGCGCGGTCGCCAAATCCACGGATCGGGGGAGGTGCCCTCCCCAAAATGCGGCCGGCGCCGCCTCGTTCGGCGGCGGAGATCCGCGAGTCCCCATGGAAACGGGACCCGTCGCCAATCCACGCCCCCTTTAATCCATGTTTGCGATCGCCTGAACTCTACAGATCCGACTGGCCGAACTCCCCTCCCTCCTCCCTCCTCCCTCCTCCCTCCTTCCTCCTCTCTCCTCCCTCCCCCCTCCTCCCTCTTCCTTCCCCCCTCCTCCTTCCTGCCCTCCTCCCTCCCGCCTCCCTCCTCCCCCCCCTGCCCTGCGCAAGCCCCCGTGCGACCGCAAGGGGCACCGCAAGAGGGCCCGAGGGCCCAGGCCGCGGCTGGGCGGAGGGGGGGCGCCTCTCGCACAGGTCCTGCGCCGGGCGGCGGGCGGCGAGGCGGCCGAGAGGGGGGCGACAGGGGGCGAAGAACACGATGGGCCTATTTTCCACCACCACCACCACCACCATAAGTTGGAGGGGGGAGGAGGAGGAGGAGGAGGAGGAGGAGGAGGAGGAGGAGGAGGAGGAGGAGGAGGGAGGAGGAGAGGAGGAGGAGGAGGAGGAGGAGAGGAGGAGGAGGAGAGGAGGAGGAGGGAGGAGGAGGAGGAGGAGGAGTGGAGGAG